TTTTAAACACTTCTCAGCAATTGTTTACAGGACAGTCATTTGAGAGGGACATGCGGACAGCTATGGGTTGTTTCCGTCATCTTAAGACTATGTTCCTAGAGCTCGAGGAGTGTAGGGCATTTGAGTTACTGAAGTCAACAGCCGACAGAGCGAATTATCTTATGACCAAGCAAGCGAAAATAGTAGCCATGACTTGCACACATGCAGCGTTGAAGCGAAGGGACTTCCTTCAGCTGGGTTTCAAGTATGACAACTTGCTGATGGAAGAAAGTGCCCAAATTTTGGAGATTGAAACATTCATTCCGATGCTACTTCAGAGGCAGGAGGATGGCTATGCAAGGCTTAAGCGCTGCATTCTCATAGGTGATCATCACCAGTTGCCTCCTGTTGTGAAGAATATGGCTTTTCAGAAGTACAGTCACATGGACCAGAGCTTGTTCACAAGGTTTGTTCGGCTGGGAATCCCTTATATTGAGCTCAATGCACAAGGTAGAGCCCGGCCAAGCATAGCGCAGCTTTACAATTGGAGATACAGGGATTTGGGAGACCTTCCTTATCTAAGGGAGGATCCTATGTTCCGTAGGGCGAATTCAGGATTCTCATATGACTATCAGTTGGTTGATGTTCCTGATTACCATGGAAAGGGTGAGAGTGCCCCATCTCCTTGGTTCTACCAGAATGAAGGAGAGGCTGAATATGTTGTCAGTGTCTACATCTATATGCGTTTGCTAGGGTATCCTGCTAACAAAATTTCTATCTTAACAACATACAACGGTCAGAAGCTTCTGATACGGGATGTTATCAACAGGCGGTGTGTTCCATATGATTTCATAGGCCCACCCAGCAAGGTATGCTTGTCCATAGCTCAGCTGGTTCTAAGTTATTGTTGTGACACATTCAGATATCTGGTTATCACCACTTTTCACGTTCAATAGATTCTGGCAACATTTTCATCAGTAGATCCCTGAACCACGACGTGTTGCTTTTGAAATATTAGTGAGAGAGGACTGGCTGTAGATGGGAAATGATTTTGCTTTACACTGTCATGAGTCGGTTCCGTTTGATGCCAAACTGGTTGGAGGTCGAGAAATTGACAAATATAGAGTGGTTAGGTGGTCCCAGAATTTATTGATTGTTTTTGGGAAGATGAGATTATTAGAATATGTGAGTGGTGTGAAATGGTTAAAATGACCCCTCAACTTTTGGAGTTTCATAAAAGAGATGGGGGCGGAATTGAAATTTTTTGCGAATGAATTGGAACTTAGAAGTGGTCCAAATTTTTTCCGAATTAGTTTCCAACGATAGGAGTTAGAAGTGGGAAGGGCGTACTTGATTTGAGAAGTTCTCATTTGATCATGGTGATGCATTGAGTTACAATATACAGACTTCAATAATCTTTTGTTACTTTATATGCAGGTGGCAACGGTTGATAAATTCCAGGGGCAGCAAAATGATTTTATCTTGCTCTCGCTTGTCCGAACTCGGTTTGTGGGTCACCTGCGTGATGTTAGAAGATTGGTTGTTGCAATGTCCCGTGCTCGACTGGGTCTCTATGTGTTCTGCCGTCGATCACTTTTTGAACAGTGTTATGAACTGCAACCTACTTTTCAACTCCTACTCCAGCGGCCTGACCACCTTGCCTTGAATTTGCACGAGACCTCACGTTACACTGAACGTCCCGCTGACAACATTGGACAACCTTACCTTGTCAATGGTGTGGAGGAGATGGCTCAAATTGTTGCCGACAAAATTAATCATTTGTATCAGGTACCATGACGTGTTCCCTTTTGGTGTGAAGTGAATCTCTTTTGTCTATCTCGACAACTTTGGGGTGTGTTTGCTTTAGCTTTTGCAACACTAAATGCCTTCTGTTAAGGTTTTATTCGTTTCCAGGTTGTTAGTAATTGAAGAAGTGCACTTGTTTTAGCTTTTAACTGATCTACTTATCTAGTTTCTTATTTCTCAGCTAACACGAATGCTCTGACTTGTGTTTTACTAGGCAAAAACAATGAGCTACCAGTTTCAGCAGTCTATGGCTTACTCGTCCACTGAACCATCCCTGGAGAATGGTGCAGCCGAAGGTGTGCCTGCTGGAGACCTTCCAGATCCAGAGGTAGCTGATGACACAATGAGTGATCACAACGAGTACCTCCTCAGAGATGGTCAATCAGAAGTAGAGAATGGTGTGCTTCCTGAAAGCTTGTTGGACGAAGCTCCTAAAGAAATGAATGCCGTTGCTGGTGATCAAAGTGGCAATCAAGCAAGTATAACCCAATCTGATGGCGAAACAGAAGATATGAGAAATGACTAAACAAGAATGGAAGAGTGATCCTGGGGTTAGAATACTCAGTTTGATTTATGCTTCAAACAACTTTTCCTGACAGCAACGGGTGATTTGATGCAAATTGTGCTGTTGGTTGATCATTCTATATTGGTGAAGAATGTGGTTGCGAGCAAGCAAGTTAACGTAGCGTTTTAGATCGAGTAAATGGTAACGAGGAAGAATCGCATTTGGGACCACCGATGACAGATCATGTACTAGTTGTAGCGAAGCAGCATGTACATGCTTCAAGTTTCCTTGTGCAGTTGAGAGTCTGGTTCGAGGAGCTTTGTTTTTTTGCCTTATCTATCTCTCCTTGTGCTATCCTCTTTGCTTTCTTAGTAACAAATTTGGTATTGCCATGAACACATCGAAAACAGAATATGGTTGGGTTGCAGCAGGTTCATCAACACAGAGTTGGAACTTGGAAGAGAATTACAGGAAAGCGATTTGTGTTGTGGACTTATGGCACTCATCAATTCCAACAAACGAACATAACATTTTTCTAAATCCACAATAACCCAATTCCAAACATCTTGCCATAACTTGCTTTTTCCAATTTAAACGGGCAAACCACCTTTCGCAAGGCGAAAATGGGTACACGTGAGTTTCAGAAACCCTAGCTCCGCAAAAACGAAGCGGCGATTTTCTAAGGGGATTGCTAATTGTCGCCCTAAATTTTCTATAATCGCCCTAACTTAAAAGTTGAGATTACCACATTACCCTTCTTTTTTTTCATATTAAAAAAAATTTATTCTAATAATCAACCGCCTCCGCCGCAGGCTAATTCACGTCGTCAGCAGCCGTTTTCCATAGACGGTGTTCTTCACAAAATTGGAAGTTAGTTGAAAATGGATCAGTGGAGGTTGGGTGGTGGATTCAATAACCATAATTAATCCAAATATATTGATTAACCGCCTCTTCTGCAGGCTGATTCTCGTCGCCAGCAGCCGCAAAATTGATATTTTGCCATCAGTCACCACTCTCGTCGCTAGTAGCCGCAAAATTCTCGTTGCAAGTGCGAGATGGTGTTCTTTGGCGAGCACCGATTGTTCGACCGACGACAGTGGTCACTGGGTGGTGGTGATCGGCGGTGAAAATTCCCGTCGCAAGTGCAAAATGGTGTTCTTCGGCGGGCACCGGTTGACCGATCGACGGCAGTGGTCGATGGGTGGTGGTGATCGGCGGTGATTATTTGGAGATGAAGGAAGATTATAGTTATTAAAGATTCTTTGTTTTATTGAATTTGATTTGAATGATGAAGGATAATTTAGTGATCTCCCGGTTTAAGTTAGGGCGACAATAGTAAAACTAGGGCGAGATTTAGCCATTCAGTTTTCTAAACCTACGTTTCTTGTCGCCCAGTACGTTCATGGCTACGCCGGTGCGGAGGGGCCAATTAGGGGTGGGCAAACGGTTCGGTAAACCCGAACTGAACCGAAACCAAATTACATCGAACCGAAATGGAAATAATGCTATTCGGTTCGGAATTCGGAAGGAAAATATGGATATTTTGGAAATCAGGGTTCTTTCAACCGAACCGAAATTTCGAATTTCCGACCGAAAAATCGAAATACCATAATTGCAACCTCCAAATGGTGGATTTTTATGTTTGTAGTTGTTTTATGACTTATGTGGATTTTTATGTTTGTAGTTGTTTTCATACTTAAATATTTGAAATATTTTATGACTTATGTGTTGAAATGTTTGATTTTATGACTTGCATATTTATTGTTAATAATTTAAAAATAATTTAGGGGTGAAAAAATAATTTAAAAGTGAGAAGATACAAGTAGCCTCATAAATTCAATTTTGTGTTAATAACCGAACCGAACCGAATTATAATTCGGTTTAAACCGACCGAACGAATTATAATTTAGTTCGAATTCGATTTGAGGTTTGGGAGAATTCGGGGACCCGGTATTCATAATTTTGGTTTGGTCGAAACCGAACCGACCGAATGCCCAACTGAGCGCGTCCGACGCCCTCCACCAGTCACTTCCTCTCCTAACTCGAAAAGGGATAAGGAGACTCAACAACCTAAGAAGAAAGAGAAACATATGCGGGATAACCCGCTTTTTGGTGAGGAAGATACTACGACACCCATGTCTACTCCTATGGAAGAAGCGGATACCATCCCAGCTAAGGCGACCAGCAAATCAGTATGGGAAGGAGGCTCGCGTAAGCTTTTCAGCAATTTGCATCAGAATGATGAGTGGTATGTTGCGGAATCGGATTCCGAGGACGTAGCTGTCGCCATTGAAAGAAGACGATCTTGACGATGAAGTCCCGGAGGACGAGGACCCAAGATGCCCTATTATTGTGTATACGACACTAGAAAAGCAATGTTGGAGAGGAGAATGGCAGTCGACACTTATTGTTAAGGTGCTGGGACGAACCTTCCCTTTTCCAGTTATCTTACCCAGATTGGAGACGCTATGGGTGAAGTGCGGAATGATTCAGATGTCTAGTTTGTCTTTTGGCTTCTATGTGGTGTGATTCACTAGTCAATTTGATTATGAGCAAGCGGCAGCCGGGGGGCCGTGGATGATCGGAGACTACTACATCATGGTGCGCCCATGGCGTCGAAACTTTAATCCAAAGATGGCTAAGTTGGCACCGACGTGGTATGGGCTCGCTTCCTGGGACTGCCTAGGGAATTCATTAACAAGGAAGCAGTGAACGCATTGCGGAGAGGATTGGGAAGCCTATCCCAGTTGATCGAGCTACTCAAACTAAAGATTGTGGAAAGTACGCCCGTGTTAGCATTGAGGTTGACCTTACAAAGACACTGCTATCGCAGTTCAAGATTGAAGGGATTACCTACCACGTGGAGTTCGAGAGTTTTCATCGTATATGCACCGAGTGTGGCAAGTATGGACACTTGAAAGTTACTTGTCCCACTTTGTTTAAAAACCAAAGCAATAACCAGCCCACGTCTACTCCCCAAGTTGAGCAGAGCAGTGCACCAACTAGTGTTTATGGGGAATGGATGATGGCCAAACCCCAAAGAAAAGGACCTAACAGAAGCCAGAAGGACAAAAGAGAGATACATTGGTCTGATAAAGTCAAGGGCTCATGCTATGCAGTGCTTATCGAGGAGGACACTAGCTCGCATAAGGAAATTAGCAGGGAGGTATCCCAAGAGAACCAGAAGGACAAGGAGGCTGTGACACATGCAATGGTGACTGGGGAGACTGATGGAGTTGCGGAGCCAATACCTCCTACCACTGCAAATGATAATGGAGCTATTCCATTGTCGAGACAAAGGAACCAACCACTGGGAACTGAAGACAAGACAACCCAGTGGAGAAGCGGAATACACAGGTGGAGAGAGCTGGGGCACAACATCTGCAGTTGGGCAACGTGTGCAAGAAGAATGGGCATTCTCGTAATGACCCTCCCGAACGTAATCCATCCTTAGTCAAATCGAAAAAGTATAACTAAACGAAGAAAGTGTCTAATCACAAAGACAAGCGCGCGGGGAGCCTATCCCCTTTGGATCATTAATCAAGCTGTTGAGCTATAAGTATCGCGGGCTGGGAAACACGCGATCAGTTAATGCATTAAAAGCGCTCTTGCGCCTATCTTCCCCAGATGTTGTTTTCTTAATGGAAATAAAGCATACTAGTGCTGAAAATGAGAACGACATGTGGATATGAGCATGGAGAGAGCTTTCGAGCAGTGATATCGCCCCGTAGTCGTGCGGGGGGTCTTAGCGTGTGGTGGAAGGAGGAGGTGTCACTTACTTTCATGAACTCGGATCTTCACTATATCGATGTGGCTATAGATGAAGAACCGGGAGGTAGATGGGGATTTACGGGGATATACGGTTGGCCTGAGATGAGTGATAAGTGGAGGACGTGGGATCTCTTTCGTTCTCTTAATGACCAATGGGACAGGTCGTGGTTGTGTGGCGGAGACTTCAATCAAGTACTCTCGACAGAGGAGAAGAGTGGTGAAAGAGGGGCACCAAAAGTGGAAATGGTCCAGTTTAGTACCTGCCTGAATGATGTGGGTTGTCAGGATTTGGGCTACTATGAGTACCCTTTTACTTGGGAAAATAGAAGGGTGCGTGATGGATATATTGAAGAAAGATTAGACTGTTTTGTGGCGAATGAGAAGTGGTGCATGATATTCCCAAATGGAAGAATAAAGCATGGGGATAGGGCGCATTCAGATCATCGCACGATTATTTGTGAATCAAGATGCGAGGAGGATGACGAAGTCAAATGGGATTGGTCTTTTCGGTTTGATCCGGTGGGGGCAAAACACCACGACTGCTCCGCTGTCATTGAGCGTGCCTAGAATAGATTGCCGTCAGCTGCTATTCTTGATAAATTCGATCGTTGCAAGCAGGACTTGGAGTACCAGAATCGGCAGACTTTTTCGGCTTATGCGAAACAGAAGAAAAAGGTCCATCAGGAAATGAGGATATTGGAGAGAAGAGAAAAGACGGAAGCAGTCCTGAGCCAACTTAAAAGTCTAGAGGATGAGTTGGCGGACATCCAAGACAACGAGGAGCGATTCTGGAAGCAGCAATCACGGGCGGACTGGTTACGGTCGGGGGACAAGAACACATGATATTTTCACAGAAAAGCTTCCTCTCATCGAAGGAGGAATATGATTAAGAAGATCCGAAATGAAGCTGGACGATGGTTCACAGGACAGACTGAGGTATCTACGTACATGGTTGACTACTACAAGTCACTTTTTACGGGGGGACCTGTCCCAACAACCTGACTGATCCTGGAGTCTATCTCGCGCACACTGGGAGAAGAGGAAAATGACATGCTGCTTTGGCCTTTCGCGAAGAATGAGGTATGGGGAGCTTTGAAACAAATGGGGAGTCGAAAAGCTCCTGGTGCTGATGGGCTCTCCGCCTTCTTCTTCCGTAAGTACTGGTCTATTGTTGGAGAGGAAGTGATGAAGGCTATCGACCGATCAACCTGTGTAACATCCTGTACAAGCTGGTGTCGAAGGTCTTGTCTAATTGCCTTAAGCCCCTGTTGGATCAGATCATTTCTCCGGTAGAGTGTCTTTGTCCCTGTCCGTTTTATTACGGATAACATTATGGCGGCTTTTGAGTTTTTCATACCAAGAAGAAGAGTAAATGGTGGAAGCATTGCTACTTCGCAACAAAGATTGATATGGCTAAGGCGTATGATCGGGTGGAGTGGCATTTCTTGGAGGTAGTGATGAGAAAGATGGGGTTTGAGGATAGATGGATTCAGTTGGTCATGATGGAAGTGACAACCGTCTCTTACTCTGTCGTGGTGAATGTGCATCGATTTGAAACCTTCAACCTAGGCAGAGGGATTCGGCAGGGCAACTCGTTATCACCCTATCTCTTCCTGATCTGTGCGGAGGGATTGTCAGCCTATACAACCAAGGTGGTGGAGGAGAAACAACTGCATGGGCTACAGGTGAATTGGGGTTCCCCGGTGATTACCCATCTTTTTTTCGCTGACGATAGTATCTTTTTTTTCCAAGGCTAATCACCAGGAGTGTTTGGTGCTGATAGAAATCCTTCATTCCTACGGCCGTCATCGCTCATATCGAGAATCATTGCCGCTAGATATCACAAGCACTGTTCAATTCTTGAGGCCCGAGTGGGAAGTAAGCTACATTTGCCAGAGCTTGATGAGTGCCTAGGATTTCTTATGTGATGGCTTGAGGTGGCAAATCGACAATGGTGCCCATGTAAAGGTGTGGGGAGATCAATGGCTGCCTTCAGAACCAACTTTTAGGTCTTCGGCACCAGCAATCCTCCCAGTAGACTCCACTGTTCGTGATCTTTTCCAGCTTCCCTTGCGCAGACTATCCTGTCCATTCCTCTAAGGGGGACGGAGGAGCAAGACGTGTTGATCTGGATGCATAGTGATTATGGCTATTTCTCGGCCAAAAGTGGGTACATGAAGTGGCTTGGTGAGTTCAAGGTATATGAGGGTATCCTTCCAACGGTCAGCGAGAAGCTTTGGAAGGCCATTTAGACGTTGAAAGTACCGTCGAAAGTCAGGCACTTCATGTGGTGGTTTATGCGGGAAGTCTTGCATACGGGGGTAAAGTTGGTAGCGAAGAACTCGAACTGGAGTGACACTTTCCCCTTTTACAACCAGCTGGATACGCAACAACATATTTTTTTTTGAATGCAGTTGGAGCGGTCGGGTTTGGCTTGGGACTCCCTGGGAGCTAGCATTTGCCATGCATGGGGTGCTGAACTGCATGGAATGGGTTCAAGAGCTATTGAAGACTGAGAGCTTAGACTTGGTGGAACACTGGGCTATGCCGCTGTGGGCGATCTAGAAGGAGCGCAACACACAACTATTCAATGGCTAAATTTCTCGCCTCTTTTTCGCCAATGATCTTATTTTGTTTGCAAAAGTAGATTGTTACCAAATCGATATTATCTGGCAATGCGTCCATGACATCTGCTCTAGCTCTGGCCGGCGTGTGAATTTAGAGAGATCGGCTATGTTGGTTTCTCCTGATGTTTCGAAGGATAGAGCCCAATGGCTAAACGAGAGGGCCGACATGCCTCTTAACGCACAGCTGGGGAAATGCTTGGGGATCTACACTATAAATGGAAAATTCACTTCTAGTATATACAAAGAGCTATCCATGAAAATTCAGAGGAAACTTCCCCGTGGAGGACTCGGCACCTCTCCTTGGCAACAAGGATCACCCTGATGAAATCCCTCTCATCATATATTTCGGTGTACCATGTGTTCACTGAAAGACTGCCCTTTATCTTTATGACTTGCAAAGCTCTAGATCGATGTAACAAGCAATTTAATCAGGGAGAAGAGGATGGGAAGACTAAATTTCACCATATGGCGTGGGAGAAAATGAATATGCCGATAGATCAAGGAGGCGTGGGTGTCAACCGACCAAGCTAGCAAACCAGGCAATGTTAGCTAAGGGTGCCTGCAATCTTGCTACCGATGATCAATCCCTTTGGGCACGAGTCATGAGGGGCTAGCACAGTCATAATATAGAAGGGCTAAGCATCCTCGACAATTCAAAAGTAAGTTCCATTGTTTTTCGTAGCTTTAGTAGTACCACCGAGGTCTTATGCACAGATTGCATGCATACTGTGAGTAATGGAAAGAAAACTGAATTCTGGCTCGACTGTTGGTTTTTGAAGGAACTGCTAGTGAATATGACCATCAAGGAGATTCCGTGCTGAATATCGATCGACAGATGGCTGACTACTGACATCCATATCGTTGATGGAAGGTGGATGAACTCACTGCTATTCTTCCACCAAACATCATCAACGACATCCGAACAGTACTCGTCAACCCCTTTGCCAAGGAAGATGATCAAATGTGATGGAGCTTAACTTCCACTGGAAACTTCTCATCTAGCTCGGTCTTTCAAGCGCTCTCGCCTCAACAAAATTATCAACCCTTCTTGACATGGCGCTCTATTTGGTGTCTTCAAGCCCCAGAAAGAGTTAGGGGTTTCATCTATGAAACATCCCACTACTTTGAAAATGGAAAAGACATTTTTACCCCGGGGTATATTTTAAAATTTCAAATAAATTAACCTTAAATAAAAGATCCAAACTTAAATAACTTAGTATTTCAATGCAAAGCCCTAACACATGTGGGCAAAACTTAATTGTGCTCTTTAAGAAAAAAAAAAGAATCTTAAGTTCTTAAACTCACAACCAGAAAGCCGCAATAACTTAAAGAGTTCTCCAGTGCTTACTCTGACGCCTAGCTCGACATTCCTCAACGATGGTGGTGTTTAGCCCCTCTAACTTGTTGGTCATGATCTCCACCTCTATCTGGTGAGTGAGTTGGGGCCAGTCTACGCCCTACTTAAACTCGAAAAACCTATGTTTATTCTCTAGGAGCTCACCACAAACTTGTGGAAATGATTTGTACTTCCTCCTTTCAAAATTTAACTCTTGTAAAACGTATTATTTCATTGTTCATCTTACCATGGGGCCCATACCTCGACTTAGCTGGCGCCACTACTAACCTTACTTGCTTAAACCTGGTTACCCTCACAATGGGGTGCCCCTCACATGGGTATGACCACTATGGAACGAATCACCATCCGGTGTCAAACTATGGTATGTCTACCACGGAACATATCATCATCCGGTAACACACCTAAACCTAGGAAATGGATACCGCGGAACTCATCACCGTCCGGCACCACGCCTGACCAACTATCGCGAAACGTATCACCATCCGGTAGTGATCAACTACAATAGAACTTATAACTCATGTAGGGATCCATCTAGCTAGTGGCTAGCTAAGCAAGGTTACCTATCTTTACTCGTGACATTCTCTTACTCTTATCACCATAACTATTAAGCGGTGTAGTATTAAAAACACTCGTTCTTAAACATCGTAAAAATGTAAACTTAAATTCTTAAACGTAGATATTGAAATGCTCAAAACAATAACTCAAGTCGAAGCATGCATAATCAACACAATCCTAAATCAAATAATGCACATACACTTCATGTAAAGCAAATACTTAAAACATGTAAGGCGTATAATTTACCCTCTTGAACACTTATCTCGAAAACATATGACTCTCAACCTCTTAATCAGTGGACCTCAATCACCAGTATCTTAAGAACCTATAATCCGAAAAGATACTCACCCTTAGACGATAATCCTTCAAATTAGCCCTTGTAACGTAATTTTTTTTGTGTTCCTAGCTTAGTCCCAAAACTCATTAAAAGGACATTATTATCCTTTAAATAATTGTCTCCAAAATTGAAAATTTTCCCCCAAAATTTCAAGGGCTCATTTCGATATGGAGGAACAGATTGGTTTTCTTTTTTGCCATAGATATTCCAGACGGAACAGCAAGATACGAGTTTATACAAAAGATGACCAAAAGTCAAAAACTAAAGAACAAGCAAGGGACGCCGGTCAACAAGAAGTCGAACCAGCGATAAGAGGGATTTTGTCGTCACGATATGGGCAGCCCTATTGTACCTCCGTGGTGCGAAGTGGAACGAGACACGTTGAAACGAGGCAGTAAGGATGAGCACCTCATTTAAGATGGCTCCCCCCAACCTGTGTGACGTATCCTTCGCGTTGACCATCCGAATGATCACCTGCGCATCACCACAAAACCCCACATTAGTTATTGAATGATTGAGACACCAACGTAAGGCATCGCGCAAGGCCATGAGTTCAACAAGGAAAGGGTCAGAAATGAAGTCATAAAACCGTCCGAATGCAAATGAAATAGCTCCTCCTGGAACGAAACCCACAAAACCAATTCCTCCACCCACTGAAGCCTTAGTGGTCCCATCAAAATGAACTAAGACTCCATTCTCAGGGCATGGAGGTGGAGACGAAGCACCACCAGCATGCCGTTGCCCACTAGGACCGCCCGCCGAGCCGATGAGCTGTTCTGAACAGTCTCCCATTTAGCCAGCTGTGAGTCATACTGTCGCACTAGGGTGGGAGGAAGATATAGGATCAGATCATAAGCCACCCAACACTGACCTTTCCAAATGCGCCAGAACACGAACACTAGTCGAGCAATTGCTTGATCTGTCAAACCTGCATAAAAAAAGAGCCACCTCCAACCAATTGCAATATGGCAACTACGTAAATGAGAAAGAATGTTTTCCAAGCCCAACAATTGCCAGACTGCCTCTGCATTCTACACTCGAAGAAACAGTGAGACAAGGTTTTAGGAGCAGATGAACAAATTGGACACAAGAACCCCTCCTCGTCATCATCCGGGATAATTTCTTTGTCACGAAGAACAACACGGATAGGTAAGAACCCATGAATGAGTCTCCACAAAAAGAAACGAAGTTTTGGAGGCACTTTTAGAGACCACAAGCAATTCCAAGCCTTGGAGTAAAAAATAATTGGAATGGTGGAGTGATTAGCAATGAGTTTAGCAGATGCAAGGTGGTATCCAGATTTAATAGAGTACTCACCTGAGGTTTCATAATGCCATATGAGACGATCAGAAACTGGGAAGCTCGGGAGCGGGATGCTGCATATGAGACACACCGTGGCATCATCAAATAAGCTGTATAGCAAATCCATATTCCAGGTGCCAGTACCTTGAACAATGAGGGATGAAACGAAAGGGAAAGGTGGGACGAAATTAGGAAGGAGTTGAGGCCGGGAAGGAGGAGTCGAGGGGATCCATACAGCATCAGTAATATGCAATGATGTCCCTGATCCAATTCGCCAACACAAGCCTTGTAGCGTCAAGTGCCGACCAGCAGGATTCCTTGCCATGCCCAAGAGGGATGAGAGCCTGGTGAAGCAAGAAGAAAGGAGGTGTGGGGGAAGTATCGACACTTGTACGTTGTATCAAGGAAACCATCTGGTTCCTGAATAATTCTCCACGCTTGTTTAGCTAGCAATGCCAAGTTGTTGCTATCAAAGTCCCAAAAATCCCAAGCCTCCATAGCATTTAGGCCTGCAGAGGGATCTCTAAGATGCCTACCGCATACCTGAATCACGGTCCTGCTGAGCCCACCAAAAGCAAGACAAGTGACTATTAAGCCGCCGACAGAAAGTTTGAGTGAGTCTAAAGCTCGACATGGCATAAATTGGGGAAGCAGTGGCAAGTGATTTCAAGACCACTTCCTTGGCAGCAAGAGTCATCGATTTCGCTTTCCATTGTTGCAATCGTTGAACCAGGAAGTCTTCAATAAATGCAAATGTTTCTTGCTTAGACCGAGAGATTCAGGGTGGGAGCCCCAAGTAAAAATCCTGTGGGGTGCTAGCTGAGACCCCAAGAATGGAGAGCAGAGAATCCACCTCACTTGTTGTTACATTGGCGCTGAAAGATACGGTAGACTTCTGTAAGTTAACCTTTTGCCCACTAGCATGCTGGTACTCATGCAGAAGTTGAAGCAGATGATGACACTCTGTGGAGGATGCTCGAAGGAAGATATAGGAATCGTCGGCAAACAATAGATGAGAGATCGGAGGACACAACCAATGAATTTTCAGACCATGGAGGAACCCCGTTGCCATTGCTCGATTGATGCAACAAGTAAAAGCTTATGTATAAAGTGCGAATAATAGAGGGGAGAGGGATCCCCTTGCCGAATGCCTCGTTGAGGTTTGAAATACCCGTGTGGGGAGCCATTGAGGAGAACCGAGCACGAGACTGACGTCACACAGACCCATAACCAGCTCAGCCATTTTTCACAGAAGCCTAGGTGTCGCATAACACCAAAAAGAAACTCCCATTCAACCCTATCGTAAGCTTTTTCCATGTCAAGTTTCAGTGCTATCCA